ATGGCTTTGGTTTCGTCTGCGTAGACCAGTGGTTTTCAACCTTTTCCAGTGGCGCCCCTGTTAAACATAGGGCAAAATTTATGTGCCGCTTCCTTTTTTTTTTTCGACTTTAAAATAAATGTGATTAAAAAGAGGGGGGGGGGGGGGGGGGGGGGGGGGGGGGATAAAATAAAAATCCTAAGCACTAATAGCAAGTACTTGGATAACTTAGAGAAAAACCATCCAAATAATTCAAAGTGTCAAATAACATATCGTCATTGGCTTTTTGTTTTATATATGGTATACAAAATATTTTATTTGTAATTAAACTTAAACAAATGTTAGTCTAATTAAACTGAATCAAAGTTAGTCTAACATATTATTACAACTACAAAGGAACTTAATTTCAAAATTTCTTGACGCGCCTTTGAAAGTTCGTTGCACCCCTTTTTCGTAGGTTGAAAATCACTGACGTGGAGGCTTATTTGTTTAACAGTTGATCTGGACTCCATTGTCGGGCCAGCTGAACATGATACCAGATAATGGCGTCAACATAAAGATGGCGAACGGGGTGAAGATCATATCACCCGTCGAGTGCTGATTGGTCCATAAAATGGAACTGGCACCATATGCACGTGCATAATGGTGGGAAATGGGTCTTTTACTTCACTTAAATATCACAGAAGAGGGATGGAGAGAAAGAAAGACAGTAAAAGTAAGCATTTATGTTAAAAGAATTAGATGTTTTATTCCACAGAACAAAAATTGTTTTAACCACTCATTCGACATTCCTGTTTTTTCAGACATGTAATTAAAATGTCCGTTTTTAAGCAGGCGAATGAAAATTTTACGATAACTTTCATATTGTTTACTGTCATACTGCCAAAGCACCATTACCATGTGATTTCATTTATGCAAGTTTGTCTTCTTCTACAACAATATTTAGTGTGTAATCTCATCAATCGTCACATTTTTTTTCTAGACAGTTATGAAAAGTTTTAATTGCTTGTGTGCGTGCGTTTGGTTTTTTTTTTTTTTTTCTCTTTGAGCAACTACCTGACTATTTTATACCCTGAGATTTCAAAACTCTCTCTATTTCTCTGTCTCTCTCTCTCTGTCTCTGTCTCTCTCTCTCTCTCTCTCTCTCTCTCTCTCTCTCTCTCTCTCTCTCTCTCTCTCTCTCTCTCTTTCTCTCTCTCCTGAGTCCGAAGAATCTCAGCGCATTGCACAAACTCTGTTGCAACGACGAGGATCCTGAAATACTTCTTGGATAGATTTTGAACTCCATATTTTGCCCGGCAACGTCGTTAGGCAATTCTTTTCAATCTCTAACTGCCAAGGGTTTTTTTTTTGTTTACGTGCGCAACAACACACACGGGCGTCCCATCTCACTACCCAGATATCAAGAAAAATTACTAGAAGTCGACATGAACAGGAAAATTTACAGCCTTCACTGGTGCCTGAACCTGGGACCTCTAGCACCCAAGGCGGACATAATACCTCGAGACCACGCAGCCCCCTCCCCCCCCCCACCCTCCATTAAAGAAGGTATATTGGGGCACCCATAGCCACTCTATCAGGTTGGTGCAACCTGCAGTCCAGGGACGAGAAACATGATTTTCGTTAACTCTCAGACTTTTGCATTCTTTTTTGAGCTGGACTGGTAGGACTAATTCAAACTGCACAATCCCTGAAAGTGAGCAGCTGACGACTGTATAGAAAAACAACACAAATGACACTTTTTTTTCATCCACAGTTAACTGGCCTAACCCTTTTCAAACACAAGTTATGTAACGCGGCTAATATGCTCCTTCATAATTAATCAGTGCGACGAGAATCCTGGAATTCAAAGGCGGCCTCTTTGGTTTTGACACATTCCCAATCTTGTGCCGACTGGTCTGAAAAAAATGGACTCTAGCATCTTCTTTTTCTTTTCTCTAGTCCTGAGATGCCTTGCGGGTCATAGCAAGAAGAGATCTCTGGAAGAGACCCTTCTGTTCGCTTTGTATAAAGTACTTTAACATTGTCTCTGATATTTCTGTGGTCCATCTCCTGTGTGATCGATCTGTGGCTCAGTTACCGCTGTCTGTGTATAAAATTGCTCTTTGGTACCCTGTCTGATCCCGATCTAGTTACATGACCAAATCTTTAATTTTTTTGTCTACCTATAAATTTCAGCACTGGTTCTGTACCTATTCTTCTTCTGAAATCATCGTTTCATAGACGATCTATCCTTGTTACACCTATCATAGTACGTAAACATTTCATTTCTGTCATGACTATCCGTTTTTTGTCTTACCAAGACAGTGTCTATGTTTGAAACTGATATCATAGCGTTGATAAGAATATTGTGTTCATCAGTGTTATTTAGTGCTTGCATTTCAAAATGTGTGCCATTTGGCCTAAAACTTGATTGGCTTTATTGCATTAGTCTAGCATCGTATGCTCGATTTACCATTAGCTGGAAAAGGTCTCTAAATTTTATTTATGTTTGAACTTGTTTCTTAATTTCACCGGACACTGTGATCCATCTACCGCTCCCCTATCAATCATTGCGCAAGTAATATTTGTTTTACACTTTTGCACTTTTTCGCGTGAAGCTTTGCATAATTACATCTGTTTCGCAACGATCGTTACGCACTTGCATCTGATTCACGCTTTGCTGTTTTGTATCCAAATTTACACAGTTGTAGATGTTTCTCATCTATTTAATAGTCACAGCTGTTCCATCTGTCCGCGGTGCAACTACATTTCTCTCACGCCAAGTATCGCCTGGAGACAAATTCCCCACTAATTCAATAACTGATGTCTTCTTTTGTATATTCTAAACACATATAAATACATATATTATTTCTAAACTGCTATTTGAGCAAGCAAAAAATCGTAAAACGATTCCAATTCCAATTTTTTTTTAAGGGAAAAAAATCAAAAAATTAATCACGTTCAACCTGCTGCCAGCTAGCCGAAGCTGCTAACAGTCTCCGGCTATATTTGTGGTCTTGTTTATTTGCGCCACTTTCGTGGCTAAAGTTCTGGTATTTGCGCCGTCTCAGGGCTTAATGCTTCTTTCCTCTAAGTCAAACCGCTCATACCCTAACCTTTTGTCAACGTTGTTCTTCTTGGCCTTTTATGTCTGTTGTTTCCTTCTTGGTTTCAGCTCCTTCTGATTTGGCCAGGCATATTTAGTAGGAGAGCGAGCTTCTCAACATAACGTCCTTATGACCACCATTTATAGTTTTTAATTTTGAGTATTATACTTTGCCAAAAAAAGTACAGAAAACATTTTTTTTTTTTGGGGGGGGGGGGGGGGGGGAAGGGGGGGTTTGGATAGATCCGAAATGTGAAAATATTTCGCGTGTGACCATAGTGGTCTTGCAGTTGTCTTCCTGCAATGATAACGAATTAATCATGTCATACATATATGTGTGATATGTTAGCGCGGGGAAAAGGGGGGGGGGGGTGGTCAGTTTAGAACAAAATGAAGGAATCCACTGGGAGCTGTGTGTTATTCATAACGTCACAACTCGATAATTAGATTAGGAGTTTAAAAAAGAATTTTGTGTGTGACTATTTTCAATTCGAAAATCAGTTGCAAATTATCTGCTCTATATACTGTTTTTAATTGTTTATAACATTTTTGAGAATATTGTTTTACATTTTACTATAGGGATGCATGAGAAACACAGCCAACGGTAAAGGACCAACTTGCATTAAGAAATGTCTTTCATAATGAGGTCATTGTGGTCAAACAACAACCATATAGTACATAGTCTCAAACCGACAAGCTTTTTTTACAATCATTTTACAAACCAGTCGACGCTAGAATCGTAGCCTAGTCAAAAAAAACGCTGGTCGCCTTTACTTCCTCGAATATTTCAGGGTGCCAATGTTTGGCAAAGTCGTCCTGGAAATCGATGTCAGTTACTGAAAACCTCAGTTTCTATGTTTCCTTTTAATGTATAGAAATCGAAATCACTGCACTACGGACATAAACATATCCCATAAGCGCTCTCTCCCCGTCTCAGCAGCAAGCGCAGAGTTCCAATTCCAGTGGTACCAATAGCAATCTGATTGTATATCCGTCTTAACTTTTTCTTGAGGGATGCACGTCGACCAGATCTTTTGGTCACTCCTCGCAGTACCATTCTCTTTAAGTCCTGACAATCCATCCATGCTTCTGCACTGTTCACTCGCCCTCAAAGGGCAATCACAATATCTAGCTTGCCATACATCAGTGTACCACCAAGTTGTGCAGAACCAGTCAGTCTATCTGACTGTACAATTTTCTAATACACCGGCATATCCTAGGGAAAATATATCCAGGGACGCAAATTGCCCTGGACCTCTGAAGCGATGCCACCTCTGACAATCCATCCATGCTTCTGCATTGTTCACTCGCCCCAAAAGGGCAATCACAATATCTAGCCTGTCATACATCAGTGTACCACCAAGTTGTGCAGAACCAGTCAGTCTATCTGACTGTACAATTTTTTTATACACCGGCATATCCTAGGGAAAATATATCCAGGAACGCAAATTGCCCGGGACCTCTGAAGATGTACTTGCCGCTCTTCACGCAGCATACCGGTCTCTGTCTTTCTCCTCATGATCTTTGCATGCAAGACGAACATATAACCAGACTGTGACCGGTAACTTAAGTATTAGAGCTCTGCGCTGGCTGCTGAAGATAAGATGGGGCACGCATGGGAATGCCCCGAGTGCTGTGGTGTCAATGCTTAACTCAACTCAACTAATCATGCTCTGTTAATCGGTTACAATTACGACATGTGTGTACAGCCGATTCTCAAGCCAGGGAAAGACCGCAGTAACTGCACCCACCTCCATTCTCAAACTAGATGTTGTTATGTCATATGCCAGGCTTTGTCACACTAAGCGACGTCCATTCCCTTTTGCTAAGATTCTATTTAGTTTCTATGAAGATTCCAATACACTATCACCTGCAAGCAAGAAAGCGTGCTTCACAGCCTTGCCGAGACTTCCTTTCACTGTAGTTGAGCTAGATCACTGATAATGTCTTTCCTTTTGTGGTTCCTCCCCATTTATACAGTTTTCATTTTGCACTTTACTTTTCTCACATGCTCATTACTATCTCGTTTATCAGTGTCACGTGTTTATCCAAAATATCTTACTGGTTTCATTTTGATCTTGATAAGTACTTCTTTCATTTCAATATTTTTTTTTTTAATTATAATCAAAAGTGCAAAGGTTAATCTTAGCACACAAGAACCCTTTCATGCTAAACGAGCATCAAGTATAGGCTAAAAGATCCTTATTTTAATTACCAATACTTGATGTTGCAGGCATCCAGCCACTCGCTGTTACTTTCCACGACAGTCATTGTGGCAGTCATTAGGTTAAGCCGGCCTATTAAATAAAATATGTGTGTGTGTGTGTGTGTTGGTATGTAAGTATATCTTTTTGTTTGGCTGCGAGTAACGTGTTCTTTATGGAAGTATAACAGTGACATATATGTCCAAGTTTTCTTCGTTGACCAGAGTCCACCAAGGTCCAATACGTTATTTCAATCATCATCAGTTCTCTTTATGCCTAGTGGCACATGCGGCTTGGGAGAGGACTTTCCATGCTTTCCTGTCCTGTGCAGTCTTCAGTGCCGTTTTCAATGTCAGAGATGCCGCATTCAGGTCAATTTCCATCGTTGGTCTCCATGTTGTTGTTGTTGTTGTTTTTTTTTTTTTTTTTTTTTTGGGGGGGGGGGGGGGCGCCCCTTTTCTCTCTTTCCCTCTGGTATCCATGTTGTTTTTGGCAGGTATATCAGGATTCATTCTAATAACATGGCCAAGCCATCTCCATCTTCTCTTGGTTATCATACTGTCTCTAGAAAGGGAGAAAGGTACAATACTGTCACCTTGGGATAACAATAACTGTAGTTGATATATATATGTGTGTGTATAGAAATATATAGATAAAGGAGAGGATCGGAAGAGGTACAAGAGGATCAACTTGGCATAACTGTAGTTGATATAGAGACGGAGAGAAGTATAATTCGGTCGCACTCAAATAGCTGTAGTTAATATATATACAGAGAGGATGGAGAGAGGTACAAGAGGGTCAACTTGGGATAACTTTGGTTGATAGATACAAAAACAGAGAGGTACCCAGCGGTGAACTTGGGATAACTACTTGATAAATATATAAACAGAATTGGTGGATTAAAACAATGAGGGTAGAGAGAGAACCAAGTGAGTCTATCCTTAGAATAACTAGTTGATAGATATTGAAACAGAGAGGACGGAGAAAAGTAAAAGAGAGTCAACTTGGAATAATTGTTGTTGATAGACAGAGAAACAGAAAGGACAGGGAGGTAGAAAAGGGTCAACGGTACTAGAGGATCAACTTGGAATAATTGTTGTTGATAGATAGAGAAACAGAAAGGACAGAGAGGTTGAAAGGGGTCAACGGTACAAGAGGATCAACTTGGAATAATTGTTGTTGATAGATAGAGAAACAGAAAGGACAGGGAGGTAGAAAAGGGTCAACGGTACAAGAGGATCAACTTGGAATAATTGTTGTTGATAGATAGAGAAACAGAAAGGACAGAGAGGTTGAAAAGGGTCAACGGTACAAGAGGATCAACTTGGAATAATTGTTGTTGATAGATAGAGAAACAGAAAGGACAGGGAGGTAGAAAAGGGTCAACGGTACAAGAGGATCAACTTGGAATAATTGTTGTTAATAGATAGAGAAACAAGAAAGGACAGAGAGGTTGAAAAGGGTCAACGGTACAAGAGGATCAACTTGGAATAGCTGTTGTTGATAGATAGAGAAACAGAGAGGACGCAGAGAGGTACAAGAGGGTCAGTCAGGAATAACTTTCGTTGATAGATTCAGAAACAGAGAGGTACAAGAGGAAGGACTTGGGATAACTGTAAAAACAGATACAGAAACAGAGAAGACGAAGAGAGATACAACAAGGTCAACTTGGGATAACTTTAGTTGAACTTTAGTTGGTAAATACACAAATGGAAAGAACGGAGAGATGTTAAAGAAGGTCGACTTTGGATGACTGTAGCTGTTATAAAGAGAAACGGAGAGTGCGGAGAGAGCTACAATAGATCGACCTGGGATAACATTAGTTGATAGATACATAAACAGAGAAGGCGGAGATAGGATTATTCTAGAAGATTTGTTACTTAACCAAAGGCATGGGTCTGTGGGGGTTGAATCACAACCTCCACCTGGTCAGTATGTAAAGGGCTGAGCGACCCTTCTCCCTTCAACCTCACACTCATATCGACGCCCCTGAACCAGCTGTCAAAATCTGGCTGTGTCTTTCGCACAGAACAGAAGCTGTGTGTGAGCACATCTGCTGCAGTCCTGCTCTGCATGGAGAAAAGAGCGATGCACAATGTGGTTAAAAAATACGTTTCTTCCCATCAAAAACTCTGTATGGAAATGTCTGGAATTTTCGGCTTCTTTTGTTAGAGTCATTAACGTAAAGGTCGGGGTTAATGAGCAGGGACAGGATGACGAGGAAGCAACGGCAATAGACATTTAAAAATAAAAATATTACAAACAGACAAGGAGAGAAAGAGGGTTTGAATTAAAATGAAAATTTACATAATGTTTTCAGGAAAAAATACACTTTTTTCAAATATTTAATTGTATATTATAAATCTGGAGAGAAACCAGTTGTTGGTGGGGAAAGGGGGGGGGGGAATATAATGAATGTTGCAAAAGTTTGGTAATTGTCATTTTTTTTTGGGTCTCCCTCTGTCTGCCTATCCATCCATCCATCCATCCATCCATCCATCCATCCATCCATCCATCCATCCATCCATCCATCCATCCATCCATCCATCCATCCATCCATCCATATATCCATCCATATATCCATCCATCTACCCATCTGTTCGTCTTTCTGTGTTCCTGTGTGTCCGTCATCTATCTATCTATTAGTCAATTTCTATTTCTCTGTTTATATACATATATATATATATATATATATATATATATATATATATATAGAGAGAGAGAGAGAGAGAGAGAGAGAGAGAGAGAGAGAGGGGATACATCGGTATGCTCGCTAATCTGGCACTCTGCCTATTTATTTACCTTTCTATCTAAATACCCTGATTAAAGAGTATTATTATACGGTAAATATCTAGGTCAGATGACGATAAATTATCAACAGGCTAAGATAGAACGAGTTAAAAAAAATTGAACCATATAGACGAGAGTTAAGCCCCACAATTGCATTAAGCAGGAACGTCTGAAGACATTTGAACAAACCCGTAGAATAAGCATCAGGAGTCGACAGCTTAACAGCTGAAACCATGCAAGTTCTTGCTCACAGTAGAATCACCTTACTAAGAAATGACACTGACTGGTTTTGGAAGACGACGGAATACCACAATTATAGCACATTATTTCTCTCTCCCTCCCCCTCCCTCCCTCTCTCTCTATCTCTCTCTCTCTCTCTCTCTCTCTCTCTCTCTCTTCTTTCTTTCTTTCTTTCTTTCTCTCTCCCTCTTTTTCTCTGTCTACATCTCTCAAATACATATACACTTTCACACTTTACCAGCACTTAATCATCTCAGTGACTGATTATGGAGAAGGGTAACTCACTGTCGAAGAGTCAGCTAGAGAGACTGGAGCGCGAATAGAATGAAGCTGTGCGGCTGATCCTGAGTTGTACGAGAGAAACCCCGATTGAGTACATGCGATAAATCCTTGCATTGCTGACTATTGCAGATAGGCTAAAGGTGCTGCAAGCTAAGTTATACCTCAGAGTAGCTGCAAAGAGCACCCGCTGTATGAAGCTTTGGCTGCACTCAAGGGTCAGAGGCTGAAAGGGTGAAAATAGTGGATGGCTCAAGCAGAAGACACAATAAGACAAGTATGCTTGCTGGAGAACATTGAGCGAGGAGAGGAGTGGGTAAGAGTATCAGCAGAAAAGTCTAACCTGTTTTGGGCTATGATCACATTGGGCCGGGTGTGCAGAGAGTGGCCAGCGGGTGCTACGGAGGCTGAAGTCTAACAGTTGATTCACGACAATTCACGCCCACGTGATCTGATTATATAAACAGATGGTTCGGTGCTGAGAGAAAAGAGAAGTGCCTGGGAGTTCGTAGCAAGAGCCAACGGAAAATCTTTAAGGCAAGTCAGCCTAGCATAGGACACCACAACATCTAGCATTAGAATGGAGGCGGAGGCGGTAACTGCAGCTCTCCTAACAAGATACATACACATGTCGTTATTGTAACAGACTCTGAAAGCATGCTGAAAAAGGTGAAGACATGGCAAGCTTCACTGGAAAAGTCACGGATAGTAAGCATACTTTGGATCTTTTCTCCAGGCAATGCCGGCGTGGTGGGTAATAAACAGGCAAAAGATTGGCTGGATCTGCACCACTGGGTGGTGAATTGATACATGACAAGGCAGATGTGGTCAAGGCTCTTTAGGAACAAGCAACGGAATCAGTAAAGAAAGATTATTATGGCCTGGGGATAATGAGGCACCTGGATGTAACCAGAGAATCTGGCCGGCTCACTACACTCAGAGGAAAGGAAAGACGGACATTTAACCAGATTGTGACCTGCACCTGTATTGGAACTCTGCGCTGGCTGCTGAAGCTGAGGATCGAGCATGCATGGGAATGCTCCGAGTGCTGTGATGTCAATTCTTGACGCAACTCAACTCAACACAACTACAAGATATGCGATCAGAAGGTAACTCATATAGTAATTCTATCAACACTGATACTCCAACTAATAGATGTATGGGTCTAAGGAGTTATGTTACTGCACATATAATATTCTAGTCGAATTGTAGCGGCTAGACGTTCGCCTGCGGATCCGAAGGTTGTGGGTTCAGTTCCTGTCGGAGGCGAACTGTTTTTAAAATGGCTTTGGCTTTCAGATCTCCGATTTTTCTGCGGTCCATTTTCGGCGTGGTCGACCTCTGGCTCTGTTACAGTGTCTCTGCCTAGCATTGCTTCCTTTAGTGCCCTATCTGTTGCTAGACTTGTTACATAGCCACACCATTTACATTGGTAACGATAAAGTGTAGTATATGTTCTGTGCCGGCTCTTCTCATGATAGCATTGTACCCAAATCGATTTTTCATTGTTACACCCTAGCATAGAACGTAAACATTTCCTTTCTGCCGTGAACATTTTTTTTCTTCTGTTCTCTGAAGAAAGTAACCATGTTTGACACTGATAGCACAGTATTGGTAAGAATATTGTTGAAAGAGTATGACTAACAAATTGTATGATACTGTTTAGGCTTTATCGATGCAGACGAAAGATTATACAGACCGGCTAGGGCAGAGGGCGTATTCAACGTGAACAAAGATGTTAATAATGTGTGGTTCTCATGTCTTTCGTTGTTTAAAGTGCATTACTAAAGTAAAGGACCCTCTTTATACCTTCAGCGCATTCGTAGACCTATAGTTCGCATTTGTAGACCTATAGTTAATCTCCCAATCGGCTTCGGTGCGTGGTATGATCAACACCATGCCGGTCGCCTTTCCTTCCTATGATTTTACATAGTACTCATTTAAGGCTGGGTTAACCTGGGAGCCAAAGTCGGATATTTACCCTTGACCTTCAGATTAGCCCTACACTGCGCCAGCTGCCAAAATTCATAATGATTGTGAAATCACCAGAGTGAATGAAACATAAATATTAACAATGAATGAAGCGTTTTTGATGACCGAAGCTTTTTGTTTGGTACGCAGTATCGGCAGCTTTTTAAGCGCTGCTATCATTTAAAAAAAATATCCCTGTATGGGATACCATTTTTTTTTTTTTTTTGGGTGTAGTTCCACTCCGGCTGTTGCCTGGATCCCTAATATAACCTGACGGTAGAACGAGGATTCTGGGACCTTTTTTCTGTTATCCTCATCTGAATGGTAGCACTTTGTGTCTCCTGGTGCTTATCGCTCGTTATAAATTCTTGTTTGGGTAGAACGTCAATCAGTCAGTCAGCCTTCCTATGACAGACACATAGTGAATTTGAGACACAATTAAAGTTTTCTCATACGTCAGGGGGCTGCGTGGTCTCGAGGCATGGTGTCCGCCTTAAGTGCTAGAGGCTCTGTGTTCAATCCTTGGTTAGGACTCGGATTTTTTCACGTGGACTTGGACTTCTAGTAATTCCCCTAGTCTCTGGGTAGTGTGCATTGTTGCGCACGTAAAAAATCCCTTGGCAGATGGAAATCAAAAAACAGTAGCCTAACGAAGTTGCCCGGGAAAAAATGTGGAGTTAAAAATCTATCCAAATTATTTCAGGATCCTGGTCGATGCTACAGAGCCTGTGAACTGTTCTCAGCTTCTTCGGACTTAGACGAGTTAGAAGAAGAATGGAGCATTTATGGGTTACTACTCGTGGGCCATGAATTTGATCCGATGTTCAAACTTCAAAATATACGTCATCGTCATCATTCAGCAGGTTGTTCACAGAATGTGGATCTCGTCACCACAAGCATAAGTTTTTTTTTGTCTTTTTCCAGAAGAAAAAAAATGCTCTGATGATAGCCATATCTTTCCTACTCACATAAATAACAGTACTATCGGATTCACTGGCTGCGATACAGTCGCTAGATAGATAGACGCTGGGTAGCAGACCAGACATAAAAGCGAATTTACTGGACTTTAACACGCAACCGAGCACAGAATAGTGCAGTCTAACGATAGCCTAGACCACGTGATTGTAGGGATATTAAAAAAAAAAACAGATGAAGTAGCTAACTGGGGAACACACAGAAAGAGAAAGAAAAAAAAATAGAATGCTTGTGTTATTAAAAAAAAGTTAGTTGCGTGTCCCTTAAGCTAATGTTTTTTGTGGTAATTTTGACAGGCAATTTTACCTTCAGTTGTATGCCAATTACTTTTTTTTTCCTTAAAATCGGTCCACTTTTAATTGATACCACTGTTAAAAACAACGCATATGGGTCTGATGTCAAATTGCACGCACCTGGGATCGAACATGGCAGCATGGGTTCACTAAGCCCAGTGAGTCTAAGCCCCAGTATTTGATTTTAACTCTGGCGTCTTCACAGTGCAGGTTGGTTGCATTAGACATGTGCATTATTGGCTATCAATGGGAGGTGCACCAACGGCTATGTATGAGAGGGTGCAAGGTAAGGGCCTAATCTCTTCCAAGTTTCGATAACATCTTGTTTAAGGGTGTCGAGTTGCTGTTGCTTTGATGAACACTTATTTCGACTAGAAAACACTGGATTACAAGTCACTTCGTAACAGTTCTATGCAGTCCCAATATAAATGTGCTATAGCCAGTGTCGTAGCAAAGGTCAGGTGATACCCGGTGCGGAAATTCACTGCTCCCCTTCCCCCAGTGGCATTGCAATGACAGATTTTACCCGGTGCGGAAGATTTCACGTCCCTCCTACACACACACACACACATACACACACACATACACACACACACACACACACACACACAACTTTGGTTATGAAAAAAATTCATATTTTGGCCATTTGTCACCTCCCTCAATAATGATACCCGGTGCTGCCCCTCCCCTTCCCGCACGTCTCTGGCTTTAGTTATACGTTTCAACGAGGATTTGTAGCTATTTGATTCTCATTCTTGAGATATTAACTCTTGAGACTAAAACTCTTGGGGGGGGGGGGGGAATTTAACAAGATATAGTCGCTGTCATATTTGTGAGATAAGTTCGACACCCGGTGTAGTAACTACAGCTTTTCATATTTATGTTGTCTTGTGTGTCTTTCTATTTTCTACTTCGTTCTACATATATCTTTGTTTATTATATACTGTCCTTCAATTCCCACAATCCAATTACTTTCCGAAAGACAGGAGAACAGTATTTGTAAACCGCCCTCCACAGAAATCGAACCGATCGATTATTGTGAAACCCACGGATTACTGCTAAGCCACACAGCCTTGATATTAGGGTTAGGAGAATCAGAAATGGACAGTTAAATAAACGAAGAAACATATAATGGAGGCAAAAAATTGAGAGAAAGCAAGAAAAGCAGAATGACATTCCCGTTAATAAGCGGAATCTAGTGACAACGAAACAAACAACGAAGCCGTAAATATTTTTGAAGCAAATGAAAGTGGAAGCTGAAGCTAGGATAAAAAGGTTAGGTTATTTGCGTATCCTTTACAAGACGTTGCCGAACCAACCCCAGAAGCCCCTGGCTGTTGTGTGATTTATCTAGGCAAATTACGTCCAGTAGTTTGCCATTGCACTGGGCGGTCGGACCCCTGACACCACTGTCGAAACCAATGCAAGGCGCATGGTCCACAGCTGGGATCGAACACGGCACCCCGGCATTACGAAGCGTTCGCGTCGACTTAGCTACAGAGCCGACGAAGTTAGGATAGGCTGCTTTAAAAAAAAAAAATTATGTGAGGACAGCTAAATAGTAAAAACATAACACATTTCCTAATAAATTTCAAATGAAAAAGTGAACACCGAACTAGATGTATTCAAAATCATTAAAGTGGTATACAGTATAGTAGGCAACAATCAGTCCCTATCAACCACGGAGCTAACCGCTGGATTTGGAAACAGTGTGCTATGACTGTAATGTGCAGCAGTGCGTGGATGACAGTTTCTGCCACATAGTCTACAGAAAAACTTTGATACGCTATCTTTCTGAGGAGTCTAGTATTCTGCCAATGCCAGTTGCCCAAGAAAAATTCAAAATTTGATCCTCTTTCAGCTGCCCGGAGGCCTGCTATATCGAAGAAGGGTCCTTAGCTGTCTTATATGATTTCCTTTTATTTGTGGTGTGTAGTCACACCTGATATTAGGGTTGTTTGCTTCCTTGCTGTGCTGCGGTGTTTGCGGTTTTGGGTTCTGGTGTGATCCAGATCTCTTTGCGGTGATATTGAGGGGTACTAGCTGACTGTTGCTGGTGCTTGGCTTGCCTCGTGCTGGTCGCTGTGCTGGTGCCCTGTTGCTGCTTGGTTGCCGATCTGAAAGCCGCGTCTAGTATTCTTGGGTTGGATTGGCTTTTTACCCCACCAGGACATCACACAAGCGATAAACACCCGATGACACAAAGTGCCACCATGCGGATGAGGATCACCGTGGAGAGGTCCCAGAAACCGCGTTCAGACACCTGGCCATAATGATGACCTGCCCATACTGCGGCCCGTGGCAATAGCCAGAGTGGGGCTTCAAATAACAAAAAATAACGTCCTAAGAAGGACGTAAGGAATACAGATAACTAGTATTCTTTCAGACACCTCCTCTTTATACCTTGCTGCGTCTGACCTCGGCAAGGGCTGGGACTTTTTCAGGTGGACTTCCTGTATGTATTGTTGCGCACTTTAAAAAAAAAAATCCCTTGATAGTTAAAAATCGAAAAGAGTAGCGTGGCGTCGCTTGCAGGGCAAAATTTGCAGTTAAAAATTTACCCAAAGTATTTCAGGATCCTCGCTGGTGCAACAGAGTTCGTACACTGCGCTGAGATTCTTTAAACTAGGGCTCGAGTTAAAAGAAGAACGGAGCACTTGTGGACTGCACCCGTGTGACATAAAAAAAAAGGTTAATTGCGTATCGTTTACAGGACGATGCAGAAACAGCCCCAGTATTTTCGGCTTTTGTGGATTTTCTAGGTAAATTCACGTCCATTAGTTTGCCATTGCTTTTTGGACGGTTAGCTTCTCAATACTACTGTTGAAACTAGCGCAAGACACAGAGCCCGCAGCTGGGAACTATAAGAATGCATCGTCAAGGTCTTGTATCCATGTTTGCGGAGGTCTGCCTCCGTCTAGTTCTCTGAAAACCTCAATAACCGCTCTCTCCAGGCCACTGTGACGTTTAACATGGCCAAAATACTCTAGCTTTCGGGTCAGGATGCTGTTTACGAGCCAGTTCTACTCAGTGCTCAGATCACGCATTGTGTGTGTATTTTACTTCCTCTTTGTGTGTGTGTGTGTGTGTTTTTTTTTTTTTTTTTTTTTTGGTGTTTTTTTTTTTTGGGGGGGGGGGGGGGGGGGGGTGAAGATATTTAAGAGAATTTTGTAAAAACATATATTGTATGGTTAGTTAGTTATTCCTCTTGTGCCAAAGATGGCGCATAGGGCAGAGGTCATAGCTTTCCACGTCTGTCGGTTCTTTGCCACTTGATGTAGGTCTTGAGTGCGACTGAGACCTATGGTTGAGCTCTCCCTTGTGATGGTTCTACGGAGAGTTTCTTTTGGTCTTCCCTGTTTTCTTTTACCCTCTGGTGACCATATGAAGGCTTGGTGGGGAAGTCTCTGTATGTCCATTCTGAGTACGTGACCGATGTAATTCCAGCGACGCATTCTAATAAAATCAGACACATATTTTTGTTTTGTTTCCTGTCTTATAGATGTATTGGACCTAAAGTCCGACCAGTGAACATTTAATAGCTTTCGGAGGCATCTATTCTCGAAAGCGACTAGTTTCTTATCGATTGATACTGATGATTTCCAACTCTCACAACCATAAGTTAGCACTGGGATCACACAGGAATTGAAGACCTTAAGTTTCGTGTTGTTGCTGAGTGATCTTGACTTCCAAATGTTTGACAGTTTGTTAAAGGCACTTGATGCTAACGCGATTCGAGTCGTTATTTCTGATGTTGTATCTCCCGTAGAGGTTATCTTGCTCCCTAAGTATGTGAAGCTGGTGATTTTTTCAAGAACAATATCCTTTAGTTTGATGTCTTTCGACTCGTTGGTAAGATCGATGATTTTCGTTTTGGCTGCGTTGACCTGAAGGCCGATTTGACTTGAAATATTCTGGAGGCGGTCCATTTTTTCCTGAGCTTCTAGATGTGTTGTGCTCAGGAGTGCTAGGTCGTCAGCAAAGTCAAGATCTTCGAGAACTTTGTCGACCCATTTGATGCCTAGATGTGTGTCCTGTGTGCATTTGCGCATGGCCCAATCGAGTGCTATTCCGAAAAGCATCGGTGACAAGACACATCCTTGTTTCACGCCTGTTTCTACTGGGAACCAATCAGAGTTACCAGATTCCGTTCTAACAAGGCAGCGGGAATCGGTGTAGAAGGCCTTTATAATATTGACATATTTATCTTGGAAACCATAGATTGTGAGTAGCTTCCAGAGTGTAGGGCGGTGTATGCTGTCAAAGGCCTTCTGAAAATCAACAAAGTTGATGATGAGTTGGGATTGAAACTCTACTGACTCTTCTACGATGGTCCTGAGTGTGAATATATGGTCGATGCATGACCGATTCGGTCTGAATCCTGCTTGTTCTTCTCGGAGTCTTGCATCTATTGGCTTTTTTCAGTCTCTGCATTAGCATGCTGCAGAACAGTTTTCCTGGTACGGAGAGTAGGGTGATACCACGCCAGTTGTTGCAGTCTGCTAAATCACCTTTTTTGGGCAGTTTGAATATAACACCTTCTTTCCACTTTTGCGGTGGGGATTCATTTAGCCAAACATCATTGAACAGCTGTAGCAAATATATTGTAAGGTGTTTTTTCAGTCTGCGCCAGTAGCCTTTAAATTGCATTTCAGCTGAGATTTCATCTGCGCCAGTAGCCAGTTGTTCTTCTTTAGTTTTTTTTTTTTGTTCTATGCTGTATTCAACATTATTTTTGTTAGTTAAGGTTTGTACGTAGTTGTTTTGTATCCCAGAGTTAAATGTGATTTGATGTTGGTTTGACAACAGAGACTGTGAATCTATTTTCTTGCTTGTAAATGTTTTATGTAGTTTCTTGAGCTTCATCTTTAGTTTGGCTATGCAGAGGTTGTGATCGCTGCCAACGTCTGCTCCTCGATATGCTCTGACATCCCGAACTGACGAGCGGAATTTGGTACTTATGCAAAAGTGGTCTATCTGATTTTTAGTGTGATTGTCAGGGGAAATCCAGGTGGATTTATGAATATCTTTATGTGGGAAGGTGGTATTTGCTATTAACAGATTAGCAATTTCACATAACTCGAGTAGTCTTTCGCCATTCTGGTTCATGCTCCCTATACCATGTGCTCCCATGTATCTTTCAACACCGCTGTTGTCATCTCCAACCTTGGCGTTGAAATCGCCCATCACAACAGTGATGTCGTGTTTAGGTGTTTTGTTGATGGTGTCAATTAATTGTATGGTACATCAACTAAAATACCTGAAGCAAAAATAAATTG